GGCGGCGAAAGGAGAGGAGGTCACATACGACGGGAGGTCTTTGATTATCAATGGAACCCGAAGGATTCTGTTCTCTGGCTCTATTCATTATCCTAGAAGCACGCCTGAGGTCTCTCTCTCTCTCTCTCTCTCTCTCTCTCTCTCTCCAGTCTGCGATTTTATTTTACATGCGTTTTCTATGCTTCCTTTGATGTTGAGTAAATGATACTGGTGTGAACTCATCCCCACAAAGAAGAGGGGTGAAAAAATAACCATATATGTAATCAACTTAGGCATGTCATCAATCTGCTGCCCATGTACATTAGATGATATTTTTTTTTTTGGGCTACTTGTTTCATTTTTTGTTCTCTCCTTCACAACTTCGGGTTGGGATTATAGTAATTCTATGCATGCACTTTCTATTTGTTTCTGGTACAGGTAAGCATAAATTTTATCCTCTTTTATTTGAAAATGACTGCTGTGCCCAATTTTACCGGCCCAAATTTAAACATAATATCTGTTGACAACTTAACCTATCGCTTTACCACTGAGCTATGTAGCGTGCGTTGATCTTCCTAGATAACTGTCAAGAAAACAAATTATAAATAAAACTAAATAATAAAGAAAAGAACCTTCACCGTTCCTTTCTCTTTTGTTAGCCTGTACGTGTACCGCTAAATCAGATCATATAAATTAATAAGTTTTCATAATTTTGTCTCAAAGCCTACGTACGTAGCTAGCCAGTACTACTGGCTCCACGCGTGTAACAGCCCCAATTAAGCTCAAGTTTAAGAACCTAAAGAACAAATTTGAGCAGAATTTTACTGTAATTTGATGTTTGTTGAGCTTGGATTTTAGTTCTTGGGGCCCTACAATTGCGTGCTGCTTTTGGGTTTTTCACATGAAAGTTGTCTTGTTTGTTGCACAAGCTGGCAAATAAAAAAAGTGGCTTTGCTTGTCACATTAATGAACATTAGTTCATAATAATTATCTTAATTCTCTTCTCTTTGGAATTATCAGAACATTTTTAAAGGGTCAATTCAAAAAAAAAATTATGAGATTTTTCGCACAGCCCCTTCCTTAATTTTGTACGTATATCACAGAAAATTATACTAACAACTGATCGAAGCTCTTAAACGATGTTAAGATATGGAGTGATATTACAAATCGAAGTTAATTTGTAATGAAAATTTGACATCATTTATTCAATTTTTTAATAGTCCAAGAGGGTTTTGTATAGTTTTAAAGTCCAGGATTGATTTTTTTTTTTTTTACTTTTAAATTTGTGCAGAACCTCCAAAAATCAGGGAGGATTTGTGAATTTACCCTCCTTTAATTGTTTAAGATTTTCCTAATAACTTGTTCGATCCTTTTAATTCCCCAAGCTAACAAATTAATTAAATTGTGCGTGGGTTAGAGATCAACAATTTAAGTTCGATCACCATAGTCAAAATGCATAAAACAAACGGTCTTCAGTTTGTCAACTAATTAATGGTTCTTAAATAAACTACCACCATTAATTACGTAGATCTAAAGTCATGTTAGACATCAAGTAACTGCTTATTAATTAAGACGAAACTATAAGAAAAACGCACCTACCAAGAAAATGACAAAATTATTAACATGAAATCTGGTAGATCAACAAGTGAAAAGCCGTGACGACAGCTACCAAAATTAAAGCAAGGCAAGGAAAAGGGTGGGGGGGTGGGGGGGGGGGGGGGGGGGGGGGTGGAAAAAAAAAAGAGAGTCAAAACAAGATTAATCATCAATGCATATATATATATATATTTCTTGTTTGACCAATGAGAGATACTCTTAAAATATAAAGAAGCACTAACACCGATGCTGCTAGCTATGGGATTGATGCAATTAATTTAGCATAGTAAAAATAGTGGGCAGCTATACCTCTGATCTTCTCTTCGTTGTTGCTTCCCAAGAATTCAATGATCCAATAATAAACTGTTATTACAACTGTAAGTCGCAGATATTTGAGTTACACGCACCTGCGAGAAAATGGACCTTTTGTTACGTGATTTGTGTTTAAGCTTCCTATTTTGCGTAGCGTTAGATGAAATTCTTTAGCTTTGACTCCAAAATTAGGATCCTCACGACTCATGAATTATTACTTAATTAGATATTTTCGAATTTGTTTTTAATATGAAACATCACGAGCTACTGAACAAGATTAATGTAGACTCTTAGGGCGTCTCCAATGGAGCGCCAAAACTCCATTTTGGAGTGTTTTGACGCTCCAATGGAGCGCCAAACATCCCGCTAAAATAGCGGGATGCTACAATGTTGCGTCAGAAATGGCGCAACACTGTAGCATTGGCGCTTTTTTTTTTAAAAACTTTTTATGAAAGGTCTTATAAGAAGAAATACAGAAACAAATTTTTTTTCTTTTGTTATTTATATTTGTATTAATAATATATATTATTTTATATTAACTACTATAATAAAATTAGAGTATAAAATAATTATTAAAATAAAATTCAACAATGAAAAAATATATATATTTTAATCCAAACACTTAAAATTTATTAATACTAGAACAAAATGAAGGAATAAAAAAAACTACACCATTTAGCATTTAATTTTTATATTTTTATTTTATTCATAAAATATATTGTTATAATTAATTATATGTAATGTATTATATAATTATATAATTTATTAAATATTTTAAATAGATAAAAATATTAAAAGATAAGAATAATAAAATGAATATTCTTTTTGGTGTAACGTTTGGTGTAATGGGTTGGAGATGAAATAGTGATTTGGTGTAAAAACTACACCAACTTGGTGTAAAAACTACACCATTTTGGGTTTTTGGGTTGGAGATGCTTTTATGCAAATGTTGGAGATTTTTTCATTGTAACAGATGTGGCCAGCTCTCATAAGCAAAGCGAAACAAGGAGGCATTGATGTTATACAAACCTATGTATTTTGGAACGTACATGAGCCTGTTCAAGGACAAGTAAGTCCCCTTATTTCATGTGCAGGTCTGTTCAAAATGTAAGTGCATCCTAGTTTAGACATAGTTAATCATTTTTCTCCTCTTTTTTCAGTATAATTTTCAAGGTAGATATGATTTGGTGAAATTTATTAAAGAAGTTAGAGACCAAGGTTTGTATGTAAGCCTTCGGATCGGTCCATTCATTGAATCAGAATGGAAATATGGGTAAGCAACTCTATCGTTGAAACGTTATATATCTAAATTGAAAGTAAAAAGAACAATTTTTCTAAACAGACCCATTTCAATTTTTTTTTTAAACCGACTCTTTTTTTTTTATTTACCAAAACCGACCCGATTTTATGATTAGCAGACTAATCACCTTCCTAAATAGTCGGGGTTGCCAACCCCGACTATTTAGGATATTAATTTTTAGGGTTTAAGGCTTTTAATTGGGGTTTAACACCGTCCTAAATAGTCGGGGTTGCCAACCCCGACTATTTAGGATATTAATTTTTAGGGTTTAAGGCTTTTCGGGAGGGTTTAACACCGTCCTAAATAGTCGGGGTTGCCAACCCCGACTATTTAGGATATTAATTTTTAGGGTTTAAGGCTTTTAATTGGGGTTTAACACCGTCCTAAATAGTCGGGGTTGCCAACCCCGACTATTTAGGAAGGTGATTAGTCTGCTAATCACAAAATCGGGTCGGTTTTGGTAAATAAAAAAAAAGTCGGTTTTAAAAAAAAATAATTAAAATGGGTCTGTTTAGAAAAATTGTTCAAGTAAAAATGATGCATACATGACTAGCATTGTATTTTATTTTCCTTTTTTTCTCATTAAATAGTATTTTTTTTAGATCCTTCGCTAACAACTAGACAAGTGCTAAATTAAATTAACAGGGTAATTAAATGCGTCTCTATTATATGGAGTTTGATTATCGAGATCAGATCCATACCTGATTTAAGAAAAACTTTCAAGATCCCATAATGTGACCCGCGATATGTTCATTACAGAGTTTTGACTTTTGAGAGTGTAGAGAGGATTAGCTGGTATCAGAAAAGGAGCAAGTTATTTTAATGAAGGAGATAATTTTTTGATTATGTTAAGTCATCTCTAACTAAATAATAAGGAGCATTAACATCTTTAAACGCCTTCTGTAAAGGATGAATACAGTTCTATTTTCTGAGACAAAGCACTGCAAAAATTGTGAAAATATAATCAATAGAAATTTGAATCCTTCCCTAGAGAAAAACATTGCTGAATCATTAACCATATATGTACTTTAATCAAATTTACATGGAATACGGTACTATTTGCTTTCTGGTTGAATTTTTGGTGCAGAGGTTTCCCGTTTTGGTTGCGTGAAATCCCCGGAATTGTCTTTCGATCAGATAATGAACCTTTCAAGGTAAGTAAATGAAATGGTATCTAGGTCGTATAAAATCTGTTAGAAAAATGCACTGAAAGATTCAGCATTTTGAACGGACACTCAAAAATGCAGTACCACATGCAAAAGTTCATGACAATGATCGTCGATATGATGAAATCCGAAGGTCTATACGCTTCTCAAGGAGGACCAATTATACTCTCTCAGGTATGAACATTAATATATGATCATCATAATCTCACTAACCAAGATCAACCTTATTAAAACAAATTGTTTGCTCAGGTTGAGAACGAATACCAAATGGTCGAGCCTGCATTTCATGAGAAGGGACCGCCGTATGTTAGTTGGGCCGCATCGATGGCTGTTGGCCTTCAAACTGGCGTGCCTTGGATGATGTGCAAGCAACAAGATGCACCTGATCCGGTGGTCAGTGATGAATTGATGATTTTATCTTCAAATGTATAGAATTAGATTATATATAAACAGAATTACCGATTGGTGATGTGGGTAAACTTTGGCATAGATTAATACTTGCAATGGAATGAAATGTGGAGAAACTTTTCCAGGGCCGAACTCGCCTAATAAGCCTGCACTATGGACAGAGAATTGGACCTCTATGTAAGTCTCTTCAAACAAAAACATCTTTTTTTTCCCCAAATTTCTTGTCTATGGCAACATTATACACACCATGACAAATCGTATCATATCACATCGTATGCTTTCTTTCTTCCTTTTTTTTTTCTTTTCGTTTTTTCTCTTTTCGGGCACGAAGGTATCAAGTATATGGAGAGGAACCTTACAAAAGAACAGCGGAAGATATTGCTTTTAATGTTGCACTATTTATAGCAGCAAAGAATGGAAGCTTTGTAAACTATTACATGGTATGATTTTTTGTTTTAGCTTTTACCCAAGCTTAATGTACTCGAGCTTTCAAGTTATTTTGAAGATTTCTTTGTTTGTGTTTAAGATCTTAGTCAGTAGTTCATTATGTTCTAGAAAACTTCTTAAACATCAGTCTATGTTAGTCTTAATATTTTTTTTCTTAGGCACTAGCATTTGAGAGAACATAAATTGCAGAAATTTCGTTGCCAAAAGACAATCAAATCATATACAGTGTGTCCATAACAAGGGGATAAAACATGCGGACAGAAGTTCCTTATTGACTTCAGAATACCAACATAGAATTAACAATAGATGACTACATCCCACTTCTGATGATATTTATTTATTTATTTTTGTTAAACTTTTAAATTCCTTCTAACGTGATAAAACAATGTAGTATCATGGAGGAACCAATTTCGGAAGATCTGCCTCTTCATATGTAATATCAAGTTATTACGACGATGCCCCTCTTGATGAATATGGTTCGTGTTTAACTTCAAACAAGTTTATTTCCTTCATCAACCACGTAGTTTTTCCTTAATTCCACGTGATTACATATTCTTCTTGATTTTATCCAGGTTTAATCAGGCAACCAAAATGGGGACATCTAAAGGAATTGCATTCTGTAATAAAGGAGTCCTCTGATACATTACTTTTTGGAGCATATTCTAGTTCTCAACTTGGCCAACTACAAGAGGCAAGGCCATATGTCATTTTACTTACTAGTTCAGTTTTCCTCTTGAAACCGTTACGTGTATGATTAATTGTAATGTTAATTATTGTATCTCTTTCATTACAGGCACATGTTTTTGAAACAGAAAAAGGAAACTGCGTCGCCTTTCTTGTTAACAAAGATCAACATGTTGATGCAACTGTACAATTCCGAGACGTCACTTATGACTTGCCTAGAACGTCGATTAGTATTCTATCAGGCTGTAAAAATGCATCCTTTAATACTGCAAATGCGAGTTCCTCTTCTCAATCTCATCTTGATCCCCTCTGTACTGGTTTAGAACCCCATTTCGTATTACCAATTGAAATGCTAATAAATAAACCTTGACTGATGCAGGTGAGATCTCAGTATGGTTTGAGAGCAGCAAAAACAGTACAGGAATTAGACAATGCAGATGCCTGGGGAGCATTCATGGATGGGATCCCGAACATTGATCAAGTGCCGCGCAAAGAAAATGGTCTCTCAGAACAATTTGCCACAACTAAAGATGAGACAGATTATTTGTGGTACACTGTCAGGTGAGTTTTGTCATTGTGCTATAACGTATCGTATCAGGATTAGAGAGCAGCTTCCATCTGCTGTTGGGCTTGAGTCTAATAAAATAGGGGGTCATGCTTTAAGAATAAATAGTCCTACTCTGGTGCTGATGTTTGTAACGTCCCTGCAGCCACAACCACAACTCAAGTGATGATCAACAACACGTACTTCGCGTCACTTCAAAATCTCACGTTATACACGCGTTCGTAAATGATGTATTTGCTGGTAAGTAGCTTGTTATTGCTTATTATTAACTTCAAGTATAGCTCAAATTTTAATTATTATATATGTATAGTGTATAAATTTTTGTACCTAGTATAAATTAGTAATGTCAGTTCAAGTATTTCTCTCTAGTTCTTCGTTTCTTAAACCATAGCTAATGTTCAGCATCTTGCATGAATAATTTGATATAGGAAGCGTACATGGGAGTCACAAACAACAGGAAGCCACAATTCTTGAGGCTCCTATTTCATTAAAGCAGGGACAGAACACAATCTCGATATTGAGTGCCATGGTTGGATCACCGGTAAGTATCTTGCTTGTTACTATGGTCATTCATAATTTTCGATCGAGTATCATAAGAAGCCAACTAAACTCAAGTATATAACGTCATGACGAGAAGTCTCATAAAGAAGAAACTTTTGTACACTGCTAGAAATATTTACCGCATACCAGATGTTTCTTCTTGTGGTACACTCAACCGTACCGAAATGTTCTTTCTGACCTTATTTAATGGATTAATACCAGAAAAGCCATCCCAATCTTAAATATCGTGTAGACAGCCATGGCTATTTGTCTAATATCTTTAGTGCTCTCTATTTTCAAAAGGACGGCGGGGCATATTTAGAGAGACGAGCTGCTGGTCTCCGCAGTGTGAAGGTTTTTAACAGTGCGAACCAAAGTGTAGATCTCAGCGACGACCAATGGGGATACCAGGTGAGAATGTCTAAATTGTACCTATATTTCTAGTTATAAGAAGTATTGAACAAAACCACTGATTACTTTAGGTGAATGATGGTTCATATAATACGGTATATCATTTCAGAGAAACAATGAAATTAAAACTCAATGACACAATGGCTGCTCATTGATGAGTTTATATCAAATTGCAGGTTGGTTTAACTGGGGAGCAAGCAAAAATTTACACTGAAGAAGGATCAACAAAAAAGGATTGGCAAACAATTGAGAGCTCTCTTAATCAACCACTTGTATGGTACAAGGTAACTGATATGCTTATATATACGGACATCCGAATCCTAAATAACTGCTTACTAATGTATCTACTATCCTTAACATTGTACAGACTACTTTTGATAATCCCTCTGGTTCCAATCCGGTAGCACTCAATCTCTCTAGCATGGGTAAGGGTGAAGCATGGATCAATGGAGAAAGCATCGGACGCTATTGGGTCTCTTTCAAAGATCCCAATGGACAACCTTCTCAATCTCTGTAAGCAAATTCAGGTATAAATTTGAAGTTTTTTTTAGCTCTCAGTTTCTAAGATATATTGATTTATTGACAGGTACCATATCCCTCGAGCCTTTATGAAGCCTTCAAATAACCTCCTTGTTCTCCTCGAGGAAATGGGTGGAAACCCCAAAAAAATAACTGTAAATACTGTATCAGTTAATCTAGTATGCAGTAAGGTATCGCAATCGAATTCATCGTACATATCATCACGGAAAGGACACCAAAAGTTTCATATCCGATGTCATGAAGGAAGAAGCATATCGGGTATAGAGTTTGCGAGCTATGGAAGCCCTACAGGAGATTGTGAGAGCTATTCCTTGGGAAGTTGCCACTCATCAGCATCAAAATCTGCTATAGAAGAGGTATGCAATCAAAAACTGTTAGGCAACTACGTGGATTACAGCATCAGTATGTCACGAACTACAGGAAAATGCATCAAACGCCCAGAAATTTTCCCACCCAACGAGAAAGCATTAATATAAGCATCCATCAAATTGTTGTAAGATCAATTCCATCGAATATTCTAGTTGTTGATGTTCCTCTTTCTCTGTTAGCAGGTCTGCATTGGCAAAAGGCGCTGCACTGTCCCTCTATCCGCTGGAAGATTTGGAGGAGACCCGTGCCCGGGCACCTCAAAATCTCTAATAGTTGTTGCAAATTGCAGTTGATCAGAGATGAGAATCATTCTTGGGGCAGAACCCCATCGATCTCAGATACTTGATACAGAATACAAGCTATAGCGTGAACTGTAGATTGTAAACTTCATTTGTTATACAAGCCATCAACAAGAGTGAGTGAGTAGCGATTGCCTATCAAATGTAACAGGGAGGAAAAGGAATTGTAGAACACATTTCATTGTACTGGTCAATTAATTAGATTAATGAAAGTTTTATTTGGATATTCATTAGATGCAGGTTTTATTCAAGTAGTTGACAGAAATGTAAATAGAAAGAGTGAGCAACAGACCTTATTGTTGTAGTCTTGTAAGCCTCTTTAACTCTGTTCTTTGGCTGCAACCTGAGATCAGTTTAATCTGAGGCAAACAAATGCTAGAAAGCGTCGGTTACTAGAGGATCAGCTATCAAGAATGAAATTACAGTATCCTGAAAGTAAAGAAAGGTCTTATATCGGTAAAAAGAAACTTTTAGAAAACAACTCCCTTTTTTATTTTTATTTTTATTTTCTTTTTTCCTTTGCCTGCAAAAAAAAAAAAAACAACCCGACCCAAGAAAAAATAAAAATAGATAAACAATAAAAAAAACAGTCCCTTACTATGCAAATGAGAAGATTGGAACTCACAATCTCTTAACAATAACAGAAATGATGTACTAGCTGCTTTAAAGGGGAAAATAATATAAGGGGTTGTTTGGTACATTTCTAGAAAAAAAAAAGAAAACAAAAATCTAGGATGAAATCTATTTCTTAACATTTCAAAGGGTTTTCCCAGATTTGAGATATTTTGTTTGTTTCACAGTGAATTGAAGAGATTGAGAACAATGTGTTCCTTTTCAAGTGTTTGGTACAACACTATGTAATAAAGAAACCATAGCCGCTTTCCACATTTCTTAAAACAGATTTGTTTGGCAAGTGTCATCCCCCAAAATGAGAAAACTCATCTAAGCTCATCACAGAAAACCCATCTAAGCTCATCACGGTGAGCTTACCTCCCAAACAAAGATAAGAACCTGGCAACTGTAAGATTCAACCAACGAGCAGAAAAATATCGCACAAGTAGCAGTGATCTGTGCCTCTTCAAACAAGCAATAGTAACCCATCTAGGCACTTTATATAGTTGGGATATGTTGAAAAAACATTTGCCAATCAAACTCATACTCAACTTATTTCCTGTCTTCAAAGTGTCGAAATTGGAGATATCAAGAAGCCGTCTGCTCAAGCTTTGCTGAGCCATGGAAACAACCCAAATATCTCAAAATAGAGGTGCAGAGGTAACTTGCCAGTGTCAAATACCGACGCCATTAAAGCTGTGCAAAAATAGACCGAACAAGGGAAAATACTTTTGGGACTGCGCAAAATACCCAAATAGGCAATGCAAATTCTTTAGATGGGCAGAAGTTGAGCATGATAGCAAAAAAGGAAAAGCAATCACATATGAGCACGAAATCAGAAAAGGTAAAGCAACCTCTGATGAAGCAACTCATCGTGATGTTTCAGAAATAAGAGACTTGGAAACAAAGCACTTGCGAAGAGAATTGAAGTTTGCAAATCAATCGTGATGTTTCAGAAATAAGAGACTTGGAAACAAAGCACTTGCGAAGAGAATTGAAGTTTGCAAATCAACAAGTTGATTACTTGAAGAAAAGTCTTGGAAACAAAGCACTTGCGAAGAGAATTGAAGTTTGCAAATCAACAAGTTGATTACTTGAAGAAAAGTCTTCTTGTCTTAGGAATATTTACTATTTTCCTTGTTGTCGTAAACATTATAATCTGCTCTTTTTTTATAAATATAATGCAAAAATCTCTTTAGAATGAATGTACTCTTGTATATGAACAGATTTAAACTAAAACAGTGAACAGATTGAAAAACAATGATATGCAAATCATTTCATGTATATCTGTAACAAAACGTGCCAAAAACCAATAAATATTAACTGTAATATACCTATGCAAAATACTCACATGTGAAAACATGTATCAAACAACTAATCAAAATCTGAATTCAGACATCCAGAACAATAAAAGTACGTGATGACTATACTGGGTAGTGTTGAAAAATCTAGAGCATGTGAGTGTAGTAGTCTGAGAAGGTGGGTAGTGATGCAAAATGTTGGGGTGTGGAATCAGGTAACAAATAAAAATTTTGTTTAAAATTCAGTGAGGTCTAAAAAATGTATGAGAAAGTAGAGTTGTGAAAACATGATAAAATGAGGCAATACTCCAAACCAAAAAATCCATAACCACTTAACTCTCTGATGCATTTTTCACAACACTAAAATCCAGCACTATACTCACAAGGTTGCAGAAATGTGAAAACATGTGACCAAATCATGAATCCAGACATGAAATCATGTTACCAAATCATGAATCTAGACATGAAATCATGATATCCCGCGAAGTTAGATAAAATGTGCTCAGATATATGTCTACATCATCATATATCCCACACCAGTAATCAATTAATACGCAAAGTTGGCTGCAGTCCTTTACATTTTACTCCTCAGCTCATTAGGTAAATGTTGGGACTGCCTCGCCAAAACAGTGCAAGTATTATTTACTGGTTTAGAATATCAAAAAATTAGACAATCATCATTGCAGCAGGTTGTGCATGCATATACAAACTGCATCAAAAAACAATGCTTGCCGGTTCGTCATGAACTTGCAGCAAGTTGCATGTACAATGTAGCTATAACAATCAAAGGCTGCAATATATGTACAATGGCTATGGCCAACATGAACTTGCCTCGCCTTAAGATTGTTAAGTTACATGTGATTGTATCTAATATTTGCATGCACTCATCATTGCACCGTTCAAGTTAAATTAAAAAAGTGACAGCTTGTCATACCAGCAAGCATTTGCATTGAATGGGGCACCTTAACCATGACATAGAATCCTATGTGGCACCTGTAATTAGGAAAACAATCAGTGTAACCTGAGTCAAACTTTGCACCACTCCCTAAGCATCACTCAACACTATGTACTAGATTGCATCAAATTAAATCACAATGGTAGCTACTGCATCATATCCAAAAATATACAGCCATACCAACCACCTAGAAGTTTTTACGACATAATAAGATCACTGTTAGGCCTAGTGTGCAAAATAAAAAAGGGCCATCCAACTCCAAAATTTTCCTGCAAATAGCAATAGGTAAAGATATCAGTGTGGATTAAATCACTTGGTAGTGCAAGCATTTAAGCACCAGAACCAAGCAATACCTGGATTGCCAATCTAGCTTCCCCCATCTTCCTTCTTCATGAAATTGTCCAACAAAGCCCTTTGACCAAAGTCACTCTTACCTATAAAATGTCTGGCCTTGGACTTATCCTCATATATGGTATCATAAAAAAGCTCAAGGCATTCTATTGGGTAAGTATCTTTGTACCTGAAGATAGCTTTGGACAATTTCTCTGTCCAGTGCAGATTAACAAGATTAAGACAAGAAGAAAAGTGTTTAACTTCATCTACCATTTGTTGCATGATCTCATGCTCAGAGTGGGCCTTCCTCCCCTTCCCTTTAGCCGATGGGATTTTCTTTGGATAGTCCTGGCTAGTTGCTTTGACGGTGTTGTTTTTCGATTGATTATCTTCATCTAACATGTTGACCGTGGGCTGGGACTTCTGGGTCATAGGAATGTTAACATCCTCATTATCATCATCTGCAAGATTAATAGGCTCCTGACCACCAAATTTCTCCATCGAAGCCTTAGCAAAGTTACCCCTGCTTGATCATCTCCACAAATGATGGACATGTTCTCATAATGTTTCAGAGGCTTACTGATGTAATCTTTAAGCCTACTCTTACTTTTATCCTGCATGCATCAATAACATCATCAATATAATGTATATGAGAATACATCATTCATACCAATATAAATTTGAATGGATTAAAACTTTTTTTACCTCATTCCACGTATCAAAGCTCTCAAGATCCAGCATGATAGTTTGTGTTTCTTCATCCCAACCTGCACCACTGATATTACGAGCAGCCTGCATGTCTTGAAACCAAGAATGAATTGTTTTCATATGATTAACAACACTTTTGGTAACAAATAAAGTACCAAATGTCTTGTTCACTTCAGCGACTACCATGGCAAACGCATATTGTTTAAAGTTTTTGTCTGGCTTAAGACCAGACTTGGCCAAATTTGCAATATTTGCGGCTTCAATTTCAAGGGGTTTTTTTCTTTTTCTTATGGGCAAGAGCTTTGCCTTTTCTTGGTGTGCAAGCTGAAGTTGCTACGACTTCATCGTTTGCCAATCTTTTTTTGTTACCTGAATCAGAAGTAGTCCCTGTAATACTAGCTGTAGAATGCAATTGCTCGGATGAATTGGACCCTTGAACAGTTTGTGGCAAAGGTGGTGGAGTACTGAGCATGTGCATGTAAGATGAAATGGGATTTAGCATAGGGAAAAAGTTACCATCGTAATGCGGTACATTTGGAAATACTGAGGGTGATTGCGCAAAGGGTGAGGCTGACTGGAAGATGGGATTGTAACTTTGGTTGAAGGCACTGCTTGCCGAAAAACCAGGAGGAGGTGGTGAGGACATTGAAGTTGGGGAGTGAGTATTAAGCTCTTTGCCCACATCATTCCCTGCGGAGGATGATTTATCACCCATTCCCTATAGTTCAACAAATGTAATTTGATGCCCCAAACATGATAATTAGCAAACATATGAATACCATGCAAATGTAATTAAAGCAACAAGAACTACGTAAATGATAAATAGGGAAAGTCATCAAGTACCATCGTAGTCAACAATAAGGCTCATTAAGTTACATGAAAAACAAACATAAAGTACTACTTAAAAGATGCAGACCACCGGGCCAAATCACAAGGTAGACTCAGACGTGTCACCATGCCAATATTTATTACAATAATCGGTCCACATATCTAATGCGATTTGATCTCTACGAGACCTCCACTCATCCTTTGAAGCGCTTTGTTCTCTTACAGATTGGGACTGAGTGAAATCCATAACATTGGGCTCTTCATTAATTTCCTCTCCAACAGCATCCTCTTCAAAGTCGATGGTCTCATTGAGCAACTCATCATCTGGATCCACTGTTGCAATGTAGTTATGGAGAAATGTGCATGCCAAAACGATGTCAACTTGTACGAGGAAGGGGTAGTGGGGTTTTGCTGTGAGAATCTTGAAACTATTCTTCAATATACCGAAGGTAGCTTCAATCTTTGACCTCAAAGATGAATGTCTAAGATTGAATAACTCCCTCCTATTTTGAGGTGTTCTCCCCGTAAATTCCTTCAGATGATAACGAACACAGCGATACAGGGAAATAAAACCTGGCTGGGTTATGTACCCCGCATCGCACAAGTAATATTTATCTACATATTACACAGTAATTTAATTAGATTTATACAATGCAATTATTAGTGAGTAATTACTTTGGTTAACGAGCTTGTTACCAGTGTACACCCGTAAGCCATATGGCTTTGGCCTAGATAGAGCATCTTGAAGTATTCTATAGTCGTTAGCCGACCCCTCCCACCCAGCTAAAACATAGGTGAACAGTTTGTTCGGTGTGCAAGCCGCAAGAATATTTTGTGTGACACCTTTTCACCCTCTGAAACGTGCAACAAGTGAAGCAGGTAGCATGGCATCCACATGTGTCTCATCTATCATACATATGCAATCCTATAGAGTACAACGTACTTTGTTAATGTAATATATGATTTGTTTAGATAAATATTATTATGCTAATTTGATAGTGGATGATATACCTTGAAAAATGGGTAAAATGATGGATTGCTTAGGATCTCTTGAGCCACTTCATTCGGTGCTTGTTTCATATATTTGCCTTGTATGCACGAAATAGCTTGCAATACTCTGTTGAAGTATCTACTAACGGTCTCCCCTGATCTTATGAATTGTGTTCTCATCGTACGATTTTTGGATTTATAGCCCAATATATTCAATGTTATGGCCTGCTGCTCCTCTATTGTAATGTGCCTTGAGTCCTTTAACAGATGTTTTTTCCTCAATAACTTTGCTAGTTTCATAAAAGCACATGAGCGCATTCTAACAAAGTTTTGACAGCTATCACTATAACTGTGATATATACGACTCATCAACTCTGCCCTAGTCTTTTCCTGCCTTAGTCTTTCATCACTTGGTCCAGACCTTATTGATCTACGGCGACGCTTCAGTCTCCTCAAAAATGTAAAAACTATAACCATGACTGAAAATGCAGCCCCAGCACACATTCTTATGACAACATCTTCACCATCAAAATCACCATCCATCTACAAGTATTACTTATAAGTTAAAATTTTTAATTTAATATCAACTCACAAGTATTACTTATAAGTTGAAATTTTTAATTTAATATCAACTCACGTAGATGTTAACCCCATACTTAAATTAAAATCACCATCCATATACAGATTAACTAAAGCCATCCAATATTGACGACATGATTAAATTATCTGAATCAAATATGACAGCAGATTTAATAAATCTTGTAAATTTGCAGTATAACAGATATGATTAGTAGCTAGTTGTATTCTCTAACCGGATATAATTACAAGCTTTCAGATAGGAATGCTAGACCCGTTCATGTTGGGGTTAGGAATTAACTGCATGGAACATTTGATCATTTGTTCCGTGAAAAATATTTAGAAACTACCAAAAGCAAGGGCTTTACAAAGTGCGAGAATTGGGGATAAAGGATTAAAAAAATAAAAAATCCCTTCATTTACTTGCACGCTGCAGTTACTTAGATCGTTGGTCTGAACGCAAAAACCCCCAAATTACAAGGTTAACTTTTAACGATAACTTCACAAAATTTGATGCATGATTAAAATTTATAACTAATTTGCTCTATGAAGAGGTATACCTGAAGAAAAAAGTCGGATCAAACCTAAAGCCAGTGAAGGTGGAGGAATCTTAGTTCACGCACAAAATCAGGCTGATCAGGTGCAGATCTGACTACGCCGCAACGAGAAGAAGAGTTTGAGAAGTAGAAATCACCCAAAAAAGGGTATTTTTCTGCTAGATCTGGCTGAGCTCACTCAAACAGCCCTTGAATGGTCGTCGCGGGATTCCTTCATTTTCCAGTTCATCAGCTGTAATTTTTGGCTGGAGTATTGGAGAAATCAAGGAGGCTAAGCAATGGAGATGGCAAGGGGCTACATCAGAAAAACCTAGGAGACAAAGCGATGAAGGGAACCCTAAAGGGTTTCTCAGTTTTCTTCCCGCCACCTCGATAACCCAACCGCTAGAATATTTTAGTGGCCACTTGGAGATTTCCGCCCGTTTTCAAGCCTTTTAGGCCTGAAAACACATTTCTCCAAAACATGATGTGGAACCCCATTTCAAGGACCCTTTTCTATAAATCTTTATGCTAACCAAACAAGCAAAATGGAAAACCAAAACCTAAATCCTACATGGCACTCAATCTGGTTTTCAAATCACCCTTTTCCTCATTTTTTTGGGCAAACAAACAGCCCCCAAGTTGAAACCAGCTGTTACTCTTTTTAAATTTATAGCCAACCAGTTCGTTCCAATCCAATCTCATCAAATCAATAGCAAACATCTAGATATGGCCACGTCACGATAGAGGATAAATTCGTCAATCAAATACAGAAATATTTGTGTAGTTCTGCAAACAAAGAGCCCGAAAAACCCAACATACATCTCACGTTCATACCAAAAACTTGAAAGCAGCTTGTGAGAATAGAATGCATACTTATATTCAGGTAATTCTCCTTCATGGGAGAATAAACAAAATTTCAGTCCATAATATAACATATGAATTTAACTTTACTAATCTCTTTTCCGAAAGGGGGATGTTATCCCCAAAATTCAGCTAGAATTCAAGATGTTTGGCACCAATCAGTATAATACACAACACGCCCCTTACAAGTTAAAGATCCTCAGAAACAGAGCAGCTAATATAATTTCGTCGTTTTTCCTCTACTTCTCAAAACTAGAACATAATAAATATAACATTGATGCTAATCTATTGCCAAACTCTTCTAAGACCACCGAGAGTACAAGAAAATTCCTATGAGAGCGACTGCAGCCTAAAGAAATGAAAACAAAAAGCTCAGGTAAAGGTACTTCAACATCGTCAAGAAGATTTCTGCTTTGCTGAAGAAGACGCAAGGTAGGAGAGGGTCCTATGACCCACAAAGATTAAAAATGCACCAAGGAACCCAAGAACCTTCAGAGTCGTAAAGAGATTAAGCTGTTTCATGGAAGACACCTGTCAGTAGGGAAATAAACTGCAAAGCCAATGATTTGTTGACAGAAGCAAGAACAATACCTTCAACCAGAATAGAGCATAGAGAAGAAGGATCGCAGCAATGCCAGAATGGAAGAGTACAGAGAATGTAGCCGGTAAAGCTGAGGAAGGGAACCCCTTCAGGTTTATTCCCAATCGCATGAGCTGCAAAATGATACAAACATATAAAGCATGTCACTAAACAGAAGAGATAACTGTTCGTTTTGACAAGATTAGGAGGAATTGACCAACGGACGATGATCCATGGATTTTAGGCTTCATATCAGGCAGCATTTTAAACATCATCTTCCTTACTGGTAAAAACTCACATAATACATTGGAGGGATAACCCCCTTGGACTATTTTAATTCCACAGTAACTCCACTGAACTTTGAGGAGTTTTCCACATAACCTCCCTAAACTCCTTTTATTGCACTAAATCCCTTGAAGATTTGTTCACTTTAACCCCCAAAGTGACATTGTCAAGTCTAGCATGTCACGTGCCGAGCGCGTTACAAAATGAGAGGAAAATTTTTAAAAAAAAATTTGCCCTTTTATGCTTTTCTATGATTTCCACTGACATTTTGATGGCTGAATGGTGTTTTCGCCCTAGTGTCCATTAGACTTGACAGTGCTACTCTTGGGGGGCTAAAGTTGAAACTTTTCAAGGGGTTTAGTGGAATAAAAGAAGTTCATAGGGCTTTGTAGAATTAAAACAGCTAAGGGGGTTATATGCAAAACCCCCAAAATCAGGGGGGGGTTTCTGAAACTAACCCTTTAAAATACCTGAAACCTGGATGGATCCACCAAAGTTGCTGCCCTACTACTATGTATCGGCAAGTACTACTGAGTAATCGTGTGTTTCTGAAGTACATTAGTTAAATAGGAAATAAAACTCACTCCAATAAGAAATCCAACAAGCGGTAGAAGAGTAAGACCGAAAAACGTATAAGAAAGCTCCTTAGGAGGTCTCTTCTCTGGTAATCGAAAGATGTGTGATATCTCTTGTTTAGGTCCAAATCTCAAGTAGGGGTCAACAGTTTGAGGAGTGCGAGCTACTTTTTCTGGTGCCTCTGGTAAGTCTAACTCAACATACCCAAGGGCTCGCAAGAAAGAGTTTTCCTGTCCAATAATATGCAACATTTAACAAGGACAAACTTAAAGTTAATGAGTGATGAAAGTGAGATGACACAATACCATTGCTATATCACCAACTGTAAGCTCTATGTCATACTTCCCAGATAGATAGTAGAATTTCTCTACCAGGCTAAGAAAATCCTGTAAGCAAAATTAACCATAGAAGAATGACATCTGTTGTTTGGAAAGCAGTGAGAATTCTAGAAATACAGTGTTATATGTGCATTGAGCCTGACATATATGTATAAAGCTTCCAAGAAAAGCATCATGGTGTCTTAAACATACAATTAATAGGAGTAAGCTCTTGTAAACTCAAGTGGATAGAAGGTCTTCTACACCAACTTTTTTATCCATTAGATTTGCTTTGAGATTCATGTTGGCACGTGATACATAGCAAGGTGCACATCTCAAAGATAACCTTGATATGTGTCACAGGCCAACACGAAACTCAAAGCAAATCCAATCGATAAAAATGTTGGTTGATAGAGGCCTCAATCAACTTAAGTTTATTCTAGCTTCACTCTAATTAATAGAACATTTTATAGCAGTATGTTCTCGTCCGGACAAAAGAAATGAATCACAGAAAGATAAGTCAAGGATTTATAATTTAACATTCCAATTCTTGCCTACTGCACAAGAACAAAGACAACTTGATTTAGCAACATATTCAACAATCCATTGACAATCGACCAATCCATTGACAATCGACTACATATATATGATAATTCATAGTATCAACCTCGTTTTCTACGGTGCTATTGACTATAAGTTGATAGACCTATTTGCACTACGTTCTTATGACTATTGATCTAAAGCCTGCTCCACAGTATTTTCTCTCTTTTGGATGGGCATGTATGTACAAGAGCGATTGGGGCACTTTTCCGAAGGTTAATTTAAGTCTATTCCTCCCAAAAAAATAACTCTATTCCCTATAATATTCTATTCTGTTCTTTTCCTTTAAGTCTATTCCTCCCAAAAAAAATAACTCTATTCCCTATAATATTCTATTCTGTTCTTTTCCTTTCCAGTGGGCTGATCGGGGACTGGGTTAAAGTATACAGAGTATAAGCATCAAGAGAATACTGTATGTCAGAGAAACAATATGCTATATGGTCATTGATTCAAGATTTATGTATTTATACAAATATCAAGTAGATTTGCACAAAATTTCAGAGGGTATGTTTTTATAAACTTTATATGATATTCATTTTTCATTTCCCCTGCACCATTAATCCATAATGTTCTTTCTCCATGTTATATTCACTTCGTAAGCACACCAGAAAAAAGATAGGAAACAAACCAAAACACTGATTCATATTGTTGTGGCGCAGCATTGATGACACCAAGTCTTGTGAAAAAATGACAGGAATGTTCATCTAACGTAAGCCCCCACCAGAACAAACTATTGCCGAAGTAAAATGATAATCACATTTTTATTACATTTTATACCCTCATTATCAATTTAATTTAAATAAATTTGTCACTAATAAACGTATTTTATCTTAATTGCAGGTTGATGAATAAAAGCCCAAGAACAACTCAATATCTCATCTCTCATAAAAGCCCAAGAGTCTCAGCCCAAGAGAAAATCGGAAAAGACTTGCTATCAATACCCCTATCGATACCCCTATCGATACCCCTATCGATACGTGAATATTGTTGGGGAGTTAAGGGCTGAAGTTAATTAGCTTGGGGATCAAGTTTAATCCAAGGACTCTCATTCATTGTTGTAGACTATAATTAGGGGTAGAGAGTGAGGGATTGAGGGTGTGAAAAATTTTGTAACTCCATTTGGAGAGGAGGATTACTCTTAATTGAGAAAACCTTTCAAATTTGTAACTTTTTTTTGCAATCAATAAAAGATTTATTTCACCTCTTCATATTTTTCTTCTCTTTATTTGATAATGATGATGAAGATGAAGATGAAAATAAAGATCAATTTGAAGGTTTGCTTTCATGAGGCTAACCCCTCTTGTAATGTGAATTTTCCTTTTTATTTTTATTTCTTTTATTTTCTACTTGCTTAGTAGTTAGATTTAAATTAATGCCTTGTAGAATAGATTTACATTCTTGTCTTTATTTATTTTTTTATTGTCTTGCACTTTTAATTTATAGAGTAGATTTATTTTCTCGCATAATCTAGATTATCATTTATGTTCTTTTCTTTTACAATTTAGTTAGATTTATTTCCATATTCATCGTGTAAATTTCTTTATTCTCATTTCTATTCTTTGTAATTAGTTTTTATCTTCACTCTTTTCTTCTATTCTTCTCTAGTTTAGATTTTATTTTATTTTTATTTCTTAAGATGTGGAACTAATTCTTGTAGGAAATCTAGAATTGTATGAAACTAGTATAATTTCTTTTATATTGTGTGAATTATTCTCTTGCACTTAAAATGATCATGTGTAGGACAATCAACTAGAGAACCTAATTAGTAGAAAAAGAATGTGATAATCTATGTTTATAGAATGTGATAATCTATGTTTATCTTGAGTGGTTTAATAGGTTATGCTTATAAATTCTAGAATTACTATCTAGTTGTTCTTTTCATGAATATTAATTTTGCTTAGATGATAATTGATAGGTTAAACTTTCTTTAAATGGTTTGATAGTTTATGCTTAATAAATCTAAAGTAAACTATGATACAAAGAGAATGGTTCATAATTTTTAATTGAAATTAGCTAGTGGATTCAATTCTAGATTCCTCATATCTTTAATTGAATCCTCCATCTTTACTTTCTTGAATTTTCTCTTTATTCTTGATTTTTTCATTATTATTTTCTTTGATTCCTTTCTCTCCTCTCAATCTCATTTTATTATTATTTGCGTATATTTACAACCACTCCTCATATCTCTCCACAACCACACGCATTCATCACTCTTAATTGTCACACACACAACATAAGAATCAATTTTAATAATCTCCTACAAACACATTCCTCGTGGGATTGATAACTTTTTATACTATAACTTGATAGTTGTGCCCTTGCAACTCTAGATGTATGCATGTATGACCTATCAAGTTTTTGACGCCGTTACCGGGGACTGGTGCTATTAAGTAGGATTTGAATTATTTTGGTTCTTTAGCTTGTGTTTTCTTGTGAAGGAACCACTTGGAGCTTGAAGATCAAGATTGGAGATCGAGGATTTGAAGATTTGCTTGTGGCAACTCTTTTCTAGAATTTTTAATTCCACCCTTTTAGTTAGTTCTTCACAATTAGAGACAATTAGGATCTAAAAAAAATTATTTTTGCCAACCATAATAAAAATTCACCGTCCACTTGAACAATTACTAACAAGATAATAAATTCAAACAAAAGCTTTTTTCTCATATTTGTTTGATTGTTAACCCTAATTAAAAAAATCTTTTTATCATCCTTTTGTAGTCACTTTTAATTCCTAGGGTTGCATTGCATATAATAGTAGGAATTCACCAAAGTGATTTGAGCATCTTGATTTGGCACACACTTGAAAACATTCTTAAGGGCAAAAACCCCCTAATCAAGATAAGGTGAGGGATTTCATCACCCTTTTCTTAACCCACAAATCACTAATTTCTCATTACACAAACCCAAGCCTTTTTAAAACTCATTAGACGTTGGCCCCTAAGTATTTGAGCTCAATAAGGAGCAAGAAATCTCTAAGTGAACCGGTTCAAGTCTACTTGAATTAGTCGGTGTCTAATGCAAGGTTTAAGGGTTGCATAAAACGCTCCGCAAAGAACGAGTTACGTAATTGATCTTTAATCTCCCTCTAATACTATCCTTACCTGGCTAATTGACCGAGTAAACTTCGAGCTTTTCACTAAAAGAGCTTTTGGTTAGGAGCTGGTCTAGCTAAGTTAGGCTTAACCCTAGAATATAGAGTGATTGACATAAGTGATTGTTTTTTATTTGTTTTACTTAAGTTTTTCTTTTATCTTTTTCTTTCTCAATATCTTTTAGAATTTTTTTTAATTCCTTAAAAGAAAACTATTTTTTTAGAGTTTTAATAAAAATTATAAAAAATTGTTTTGGTGTATGTGAATGTGGATTAGGGATAATACTAATCGTTTAATTCGTTTTGAACCATTTGAAGAAATGGTCAACACTAATCCACCCGTTCTTCAAGATATGTGTTATCCAACTAGGAATGTAATCCCTTCTTGTATTAAGTTACCCGAAACAAATGTAACTAATTTTGAGCTTTGACCGCATTACATAAACATGCTTCCAAAATTCTTAGGAAATGAAACCGAAGACGCTTATATTTTTATCTTCGAGTTTGAGGAAGTGTCTTATGATTAAGATTAGAGGACTTTCTGAGGATGCGATCAAACTCCGATTTATTCCATTTGCTCTTAAGGACAAATCCAAGAAATGGTTGTATAGCTTACCCATGAATTCTATCTCAACTTGGGATGAATTTGTCACCATTTTTCTATAAAAAAAATTCTCTATCCACAAAACGATTAAGCTAAGAAAAAGCATCATGAACTTTAAAATTATCCCGGGAGAGCCATTTTAAAAGTATTTTAACAGATTTAAAGACATTATCCAATGTCCTCACCATAGTCTCGAAAAATAACGATTATGCCAAATTATCTATGAAGGATTGGATTATTCTTCAAAAACTTTCTTAGAATCAATGTCAAGAGGATTTCATAAAGAAAAATGCCGATGAATGGAATAAATCTAGTGGTCTTTCCTTAGAGTCGAACATTGCCTCCGAAGCAAAGATGACGACAATTCTGCGAAGGTTAGAAGCCTTAGAAATTAAGTAACGAGCTCCAGCTCAAATCAATCAAGTTTCTGTCCCAGGTTATCACAACTGTCTTTCTCATGCCCATGTTTTAGAGGAGTATCTTCTCTTAGTAAACACTCAATCATTAGAGCAGATGAACGCTGCATTCCAACACCCTAGAAATGATTTATCTCCAACCTACAATTTTGGTTGGAGAAATCACCCAAATTTTGCATGGAATCAAGAAAATCTCTCCGAAAATCAAAACTTCATTCCCACTTAAAACCAGCAACTCCCTAGAGGAAACACAGTTCCGTTCAATTCACCAAACAACTTTTAACAATCTAATCTACCTTTTCCAAACCAACATCCTCATTCTCATCAACCCATAAATCCTTCGGGCCCTAACCACGAG